CCTACATCAGGTGGGCAGCAGCAGATGGCAGACGAGGAGCCTAGGCTGGTGGAATGGTTACAACCTGGCTTACTGCTAGTCATAAAGTGCATTGAAAACTTTTATGGCCTTAAATTTCTGTGACGGACATCCTGGATCCTATCAAGGCCTCCAACCGGATAAATGATGGATAATGGCTTCTTTGCGGTTGTCTTAATTGGCTGACAATGTGTATAGTTGGGAGGAAGGATGAGAGTGTACTTGTCTAGTGTCTGTAGAGTAGAGGCTGAGGAAGAATGAATTTGCCTTTCATCTCAGTTAAGAGTATTCATAATAAATGACCTCCGAGGGGTTATTAGTGGCTAGGGTGCACATCTGCTTAATATGGGCCAATCAGGCGGGGGTGACCATGAGTATGACTCCCTAGTGGGATCGGCAATTGGAGATTACTTGGAGCCTTGAGAAAATAGAAGGCGAGTGCAGTTTCTGGAGTAGCAGACATTTCCAGCAGGGTCCCAGCCACATCCATTAGCAACAGATGACAACCCACGGACCTCAATTACTACGCAAACTACTAGTAGAAATTTCTTCTACTTTTGTGCTTTAAAACTCCTTTCCCTCCCGTTTTAAATTACCACTATTGCTGCTTAAATTACTTTCTCTTCACTGCTGCATGAAACCTTTAAAGTGGCCATCTCTCCCACCTTTGAGTCATTAAAATGAGACTCGTTGTGACTGTTACTGCTTCTCCGTATGATCAACAGCTTACCTTGTTTTTAAGTTGTTTACTACTCCGTATAAATCCTTTACAATCAAAATTGAGACAAACAAAACAATTCCCCTTCCTCAACCTGATTTGTTTTACTGCCCGATTCTGTGTTCTCCCTTGGTCGTATGCCTAAGCTGGTAAAATTAAGTTGCTCCCACTAGACCACATAACTTTATGGGCAACATCGCATGGACTATCAACTACTCGTTCGCTCTCCTCCTGTAAAGTTGCACCGTGGGGGAAGGAATGTTTGTAGACTGACAAATTTGTAATAAAGGGGAGAGATTTGTATTTCGTTCAATTCCTAGTCGAACGAACTAAAATATCAATGGACTTACCCAAGCGATCCACTAACTAACCACCCTAAGCTGCCAAGTCACGCACCGTTTAGTCCCCATAAGACTACCAGGTAGTTTGCTTCCAGAGAAAAAACACATTTGTGATGACGGAGTTGGCAAGTTTGCTTTTCTCAGGGAAGGGAATGCACATTTTAATGATATTTTATCAGCAAATAAAATGTTCTCTTTGGGCCTCTGTGGTTATTTTATTTTATCATAAAGTGCTGTAAACAATTATTTGGTTACCTGACACTGTGCGATTTCAATCAACAAGAACAGCACAATAGTTTTGTCGTGACGCATCAACAAAGTCATTGTTTTATGTGTAACCTGTCAATGAAATCAAGTAGTTTACGTAGCATTAACAAGATGACCAATAAATAAAACTACATGCTATAATTATGCCTGATCATGCAGCGTATAGCTATTTGGTTCATGCAAAGATGAGGGCTTTTAGCTTGCACATTATAGCATTTGCATAAAATTGGTGGAAAAACCGAAAATAATTTTAAACACTATAGTTCATTACTCCAATTGTCTAAGCGATGGTGTGGTTCCAAGGGGTCAGTCATATTTTAAAAAAAGAAAGTTTGTTAAATTACCCAGGTTAGTGTGGGTTGAATGTTGACTAATTTCTTACACACCACAGGGCCAACCGATGGCTCTGGTGTGTCAAATAGGTAGTGTATGCACAGCAGCAGCGCATTAGTGAATTTCACTTTAACCTTAGAGATACCACATGGCCAAAATTTCACATCGTTGGAGGATTTCTGCTTGGAACCATATTAGGAGAGAGTACTTACGCTTCATTAATGTAGTCGCCAATGAGTCTACGATTTATTTGAGTATCTCTACATATCTGGCATGCTGGGTCTGCTTCGCCATAATGATTCACAGAAAGGGAACTGTAGACCAGTAGAGAAGAGCAAATGGAGGTAAAAGTCGGCTGCTTACATGGCGTACCGTGGCAAACACCATCAGCACAAGTGCCAATTTCGGTCAGGATACACTCCGCAAACTTGGCCTCACCCCTGGGTATACCGCATTGGATGGGAGTGGAGGGTATTAATGTCACACTTAGATCTTTCGGGTGAATAAATTCGTCACTGTTCTAGGGAATGTGCACGGTAAGAGTGATACGCTCCCTCCGTTCATTCAGGCAGAGCATGTAACTGAAGCTCACAACAACCTCAAAATGAGGTTCTGCAAAAGACAGGCGTACGATATCCATTGTCTTTTGGGAGTTCGAGTCCGTTATGGCTCGCATTTACAAATTTACTGATGCGAAAATTTTTTGTTGTAGAGTCCACCTACCAGTTCATAGGTAACTAACATAGTTAAGGGTGATTATATTACTCAAGTAGGTCAAATACGATGACGCAGACTTTTCCAATGTGAAATTTTCCTTAAAATGATAGGAAATGTAATGAAGGATTCTCCAGCCAAAACGGGGGAACACGTGATGTGGAGCCCGTCCTGCAAAGCTAGCTTCTGCGTTATCTATTCAGTAGTAGGCAATTCTCCCAGCAGTTTTTATGCACGCACTAAACATGCCCTGAAATATTGAGATTTTCCCACTCTCATCAGCTGCAATACCTCGGTAGATTTACCATTATCAAGACGAGGTCAAGCTTACCCAAAAATGGACAGTTTTGAGTAAATAGTGATGTACTCCTACCACCCCACTAAATCGACAGACGCTCCCGACCTTCTCAGCATGCTTCAGGCTACTTTGTCTCAAACAAAACTGATTTTGCAGGTGCACGCGGTAGAGAGAGTGAGAAAGAAGGTCATAGGAGGTGGTCATGATTATGCTGGTGGGAGACACCTTGAAAGCGTTGGATACTTTCGAACCCACTCATTCATGCCGTGATGTGTGATAATGGCGTGTTGTATACAACACCCTCTCCCCCACTGACTGTCGTCGCGTGCTCTTCAAGGTCGCTTTTGGCCATGCGACCGCAAAGCACTACATCGTGGCAGCGTGTCACATTGCAGCACAAACCTCCTGCACTTTTGCGATCTACTTCACTCCACCCAAACCCGCCCATTCAACTCCGTTCTGGCTAGCCATTCCAACCGCCACTGCTGATGCCGCGATATCGACGTTTGACGCGGAATGAGAGTGGCATCACTTCGTTTTCGAAAAGACTTGCTGCCATACTGAACCCCTTTGGTTGTAAATGAAGGCTTTTTCATGCCTTTAAATAGGCATACATGTAAAATACTTCAAAATGCTCCCTTATTTGAGGAACTTTAATGCCTCGCCATCTCTTCCCACCTAAACAGCAGTCATTCACTCGTAGCTGATTTTCTCTTCACCATCGTTTGCATTCAGCGCATTCATATAAAAATAATCCTCAAATGCATGTGCGATGTCATTTACTTAATTTCAGCTATTTCATTTTTACTTCAAAAAACAACCCCCAAGTTATTGTGGCAAATTAGCACTCTATCAGAGATTTCAATTAAAATTTCTGGAAGCTGCACACGTGGATGTGACTTGATAACTTTGCTTTTCTTACGGCACTAGAGTGAATTGTTCAACTTCCCCAATGCAAATATACTTAAAAGTGGGCTTTTGCAGATCTAGGCAACGTCTTACGCTCAAAATGCCTCAGTGCCATAAATAAAACTAACAAACTGATCTACCGAAATTCAATAAGTCCGAAGTACGAAAGTCCCTTCTGCCAAAGAAAATCCACGTTAAGGATCCATCGTTCCATAATAGAAGCCCGTCCTTCTCTAAAAACGTGCAAAAGCACCACATCCGCCCCTTTAAGTCGGTGGGGCCAATTGCAGAGGATGTCAGGAAAAATGCGTTTGGTCGCTAATTCCTCTTTCACAGCCCTAAGAATTCCATCGACATATGGGATGGAGGAAGTGCTCGATAGGAAGTTTTTTCAACAATTGCTGCAAGTTGAGAGGGTAAACTCGGCAAAGCACGTAGCAGGAATTACTGAGTCAAAGCAAAATTGAAATCACAATGGCCAAAATTTAAATTACAGGTAGCAAATACTGTTTGTTTGAGTTCTGACAAAAAATTCACGTTTTCCTTTAAGCCATCAAACAGCCTGTAAACTTTGTTTTGATTTGCATAATCTCTTAGAATTATTCATTAACAATATTTACCTTCTCCGTGGAAGTTTATGCAACCTCGAGCTATATATCTACTGGAAATTTTCCCAAATTAATAAAAAACACTAGTTTTTGAGTTACTTTATCCCATAGTAAATAATTGTACTAAACTGAAGAACCAAAAGATAACGTATGTTTCCCGTAACCTAAATAAAACTACAACTCCAATTTTCGCTTTAAAAGATGCAATTCGAGTGCGTATTTTAAACACCAAATTATTTGTATACATTTTCAAAGCAAACACTTTGCAACGATCTACTTCGACAGCCATTCCATACCTCGTTATGGCGGCAAAAAGTGACTTGTTTCGTGTTTCCTTTTCTGTTAAAAAAACTCACTGGGCTGCACTGATCAGGAAAGTTATTTTTATATTAATTAATTGTTTCACAGAGAATGATTTTCCTTGGTATTACAGGTAATAATTTTAAGCATTGACGCGGAATAGAAGTCAAAATGGGTAATTTTCATTGAATCCCTTTGACAAATATCTTAGATTGGGGGTACCAATCATGAAAGAGGATAAATATAAAATCATTCTTTGATGTAGTTGCTAATTATGTATAAGCCCGGAAATCTCTCGAAGTGCTCAAAGTTGTAAATTACCTGCAGTTCTGATAAGTCGAAGAAGATCGTATTAGTGAGTCGCCAACAATAACAAAAAAGCGTAATTTGTCTCAGCTAGTCCCTTGCAGTGAATGTCTATGTCCTGATTGTTTCCAGTCCACTCAGTTAAGAGGTCGCACCAGCCTGGCAACAGTGGGGATGCTTTCATTAGACATTCTGAGGTGGTACTTGCTTTGAGAACGACCAGACGGCGCTGACTCACCACTTGTGTCAGGTCAAAAATTTGTCTACTTCGGTCAAAATTTACCCCTTCTACTAAGATTTGGCACGTCCTCCGTGAAGCAAATTAGCGAGGTATTTTAGATAAATTGGGGAAAACCTCCGTCTCCTTGGAACTTCTCTTGAAATCATGCGAACTGGACTCGTGTTTAAATAGGTCTGTATTTTACCGCTGGAGGATTTGACGTCTTTTGAATGCAGCCCGCTAAACAATTAGGTGTCGCATGTGTGTGGCGCCTCGTTTTTCTTACGTTAGCATCGCATCAAACACACTGAGTGTGGCCTTTATTACCTGGTGGTAAATGGTTGCAACAAATCAAGTCACAAATGGATGCGTTGAGTTGATAGTAGTGAGAGATGCAGCACTTTCTTGGTCTATGGACAGTTATATCTTTTTTAGTCTTGAGCAGTAGTAGAATTGCTCATTTCCGCATTGCCAGCATTGGTCGCATACTAGAACAACGAAATCGCCTGGGCTGTGGTGGTCGAGTTTCCCATGATACGGACTCTGGCAGTGAACATTGGTAAAGATCGAATCTAACCAAAACATTTGTACATTAGGTTAAAAACATGAGCCTTCTGATACCACAAACAACTCGACCACTTTTGAAAATATACGGGAACTAAAATTTGCAGCAAGATTACACAAAAAAAATTTTGAAAACAGAAACCGTGATTTCACAATGCGTTTTCGCATTTATGCTCGCATTCCTTTTTAATCACCATTCAGAATAATTCCGTTTATTTGGGAGTATACAAAGAATGCAGATTCCTAAGCGTGTTTTGTTTTAATAATTGCCGTTTACTGCTCAAATTTTGCTTTACAAATTCTCTATTGAGTGTGCATTTATCTGAAAAGGTTTTGCGAAGACACTTATGAAAAGTCTAGATGGTACGATGCTATAAAAATGTTTAGATCACATTCCTTGACGGATGTGTCTAAATATCATTGAAATAGACATTAGCTTGCATTGGTAAGCTTGATTGTGCATCAACGCCACCTTTTTTTCAAGCAGAACCCCAAAGCAGTCCTATTAGCTTAATCTTTACGGAGCTGATTCGCAGGCAGCTGTGTGCCAAGAGAGGCGAATGTATGAAACCTGTCGAGAGGAGTTGGAAAAGTAGCCATCCTATTTACTTCCAGGAAGTCTGGGTGACACGGGCAGCCCGGGTATTTAAGCGGTTTCTAGGAAAGTGCCTATTTCCCGCCTGTTAAACTTGTTTGCAGTTGACGCTGAGTGGAGCTACTCTACTCAACCCTTCGATTTTATTTTCAAAAAAATACTTTGTTTGTTTACTATTAATGGTCGTGAAACTAAAGTCATGCCATTACTCTTATAATTTTGGTGGTTTCTCTCTCATCAATTGGATATTGTCCTACCCTATCACCTATATAGATTTTACCCAGATAACTTTTTTAGAATGCGATTTAATTGGTTAAGTGATACCTTTAAAAAGTTCGGAAGGAAAGTGGGAAATGGATAAGTAGTTGAGGACTTTAAAAAGTTACTTATTATAAAAAAGCTGGCAGACTGCCAGTTGTTTAAAACTCTCAGCTTCAATACGTGGATGGAT